AAGTAAAAGCAGGTTATGTTGAAGGGGTTGGAACCTGCAGGAACAGTGGTGTGTTGCCGCATCAGCAGACACAATGTTCTCAACGATTTCCTTTCAGAGAGTTGTATGCAAGTATTTATTTGTGTGATGTTAGGTTTCTTCATGCGTTGAACTTTATTTGAAAGTGGACTTATTGTTTGCTTTCTAACCGAGGGACAGCTTATTTTACGTCTTCCACTGGACGTCCCTCACTGTGAATGGTTTGGTGGAGCTTTGGTTCAAACCCGACCCAGCCTGTTGCACCTCGTCGTGTTTTAAATGATTTGCTGGAATAGTCGCGGTTACAGATTACACTCACTCGGCTTCTGTCTTTATTCATTTCCGCCGGGTTAGCCTGGGTTGCGGCTGTGCAATGATCAACAGCTCACCTGGAGACCAAATGAGGGGGGAACTGGCCCTGCTCCCAGTTTTCTGTGCGCTCATAACACAGCTGGCTGCTCTGCAGAAACGAACTGATTCAAACCTGACCAAACTTTTGCCAGAATAAGCTAAACATGGTTGGTGTCCAACAAAAAGCTCCTTACCAAATAAACAGGGTTTTTTTTGTTACAGTGTGGCGTTTGGGGACCTGCCCCTTTCCTCAGTGAGAGTTCATGTGAAGGGGTTTTACTGTCATAAAGCTGCTGCAGTAGCTTATCTAAAAAGATGGGAGTCTTTTCTGTTGCAGCGTACAGTTACTCCCTAGAAAAACTGATGTTTTGTCATTCATTTTTATGCATTTGTGAAAATCAAATCATTTATTCCATGGTTGTTTGTGGGGAATTTTTGTGGTTTGCATTGTGAAAATATCCTTAATTTGATCTGATGTGTTCCGTTTCTACTCAGCAGTTGTCATTTCTGAGTTTTAAGCAGTAAAAACAGAAATAACTGGAGCACCTGAAATCAGAGCTTCGTCTTAAGATAACGTAAAAAATTTCATCATGGCTGCGATGCGTAGAAAACAACTTTAAAAAAGTGTAACTATTTGCATGTCTCAAGGTCTGTACAATCTTTAACGCTGTTATACACATGTAGTGTGGTCATTGACGTCCAAGGCTCCGGTTTGGGAGGTGGCAGTAAAAACAGCTACTGCCAATAAAATAACTTAAATAATAGGAAGAAGAAGAAGAAGCGCCCTCGCTCTTACAAGGTAACCAAACGAGATGAAACAGATGAGCTAAAAACAATGCCTGGTTGCTTCGTTGTTCCAGCATTTCTTACTGGAGCCTCAAGCTGGTGGTGCGTTGCACTGAAAATCTGAAGTAGGATTTTTGCATCACACTCAACAGTTTTCCAGTTGCAGGTTGGGAAATTGGGGAGATTTGTTAACTGTGACTTTGCAAAGCGATCTGCGGTTACCAGGACAACCATAAAATGTTTTCCAACACCATACATTAAACTGCACCATTTGTTTAAATGAGATTTAAAATGACGGGTTTTAGTGATTGGCAGCCATATTGGATTCTAAGACTGAGTTTGATTTTCCGAGTCAGAATTCTTTTACAGTGTTTTTTTTTTCTGGCTTGCAACTCAGAAACTCTGACTTCCGAGTGCAAATTGAATGCACCACAAATCTCCCACACTTATATTTAGGTCCAGCATATTTTGGTTCCATCCAGGATCTTATCAAACGACAATCTGCGCTTGCTTCTTGACAGAACTGGGTCCAGATCAGGAATTCTGAACTAGTTTGAATAAATGTGAACAGTCAAATGAAACCCAGCGAATAACAGGCACCAGGTCAAATCAGCATTTGAAAAGCCATTAACAGAACAGATGGAGCTGAGTTTTACAGAGAAATGTATTGTTTAATGCTTGAAAGAGGTTTGATCTGTGAACATGTTAAAGCGATATAAAGGAGCAGAGGTCAGTGGGGTCTTGTTTCCACACAACCTTTAGGATTCTGACTGATCTGATATGCTGTTAAAATGTTCACCCTCTGTTTGCCTCCAAATCATTTTGACTTTATTATATGTTAGTGAAGCAAGTTTTTCATTTTCCTTTTCTTTTTCAACCACAAGATGTGCCTAACTACTGAGTTCCCAAATTGAATGAAATGGGTTTTATAATCATTCTTCACAAACCGCCAAACAAGTGGGCAAGAATTTCTGTCTTGCATGTTTGGCTCAGTTCCGTAAAAATGGCCCATTTGTGTGGAAACAAGCCGGACCGCTGGCCGGACCCAGATCCGCCTCCACCTCACAGCAAACGGCAAGACGCTGACCTGAACGTCAGGTCATGCTAAGCTAGCACATGTGAGCTGACATACTCTAGCTCAGATGTAGCTGTAGGTAGAACTGGCTAACTGGAGGTCAAAAGACGAGCCATTCTCACGTTCATCCTGTTCGAGGCTCCGCCCCCTGTCCTCAGAGAACCTTCCAGAACTGGGTCTGACCTCCTGGTCTGGCCTCCTGGTCTGACCTCCTGGTCTGACCTCCTGGTCTGGCCTCCTGGTCTGACCTCCTGGTCTGACCTCCTGGTCTGGCCTCCTGGTCTGACCTCCTGGTCTGACCTCCTGGTCTGACCTCCTGGTCTTTGCACTGCGGGAAGTGCGTTTGAACCTGTCTGTAAATGATGCCGACTGCTTGTCATGGAGAATTTATCTGTGACTGAAACGAATGGAGCCACTCAGTGTGTTTCTGAAGCTGCTGGTGTTTATTCAATAGGCTCGGGTCATCTTACCAGTTGGTACTCTTGGAGTTTTGTTTGTTTTGTGCACTACTTGTTTAGCTAAGGAAAGGAGCCGTTAGCCGGTACCAAACACAAAAAGTCGGTACCTGCCTCGGGGAGTTGCTATGACAACCGATCATTTAAAGATCTTGTCTTTGATCTACTTTTGTTGTACTTGAAGAAAATTGAGTTTTGAGACTTGAGTGCAGCCAGACAGGAGCTAACTTAGAGCCACTGTAGCTTGAAGAAGTGTCAAAATGTTACATCCCTTCCTACACTAATTTAACCTAATCCTGAATTACGAATCCATCTCTGGGAAAGTTCTCGTAAAAACCGCATGCGCTTTCGATGTCATGTTAAAATCACAGTGCCATCTAGTGGCCTGTCATGACAGCTACAGATGACTCCATGTGTCTAAACATGGGACTTTTTCCCAATCAATGTCCGAAAATACAGTATTTCCAGGCAGCGTAGCCTGAAAGTGGGACGGGGGGAACAAACAAAAAAACACTTTTCATTGTTGTTCTCCTGCATCCTCCAGACCGGAAGTGTGAAACCTGCACAATAAATGCAACAGAATTAGCCTTACTTTGTGTTTTAGGTAGACCTCCCTGTTGGTTGGTAGCTCAGATGTAGCTGTAGGTAGATCTGATATCTGGTGAAAGTCACTGGTTGGCTGCAGGAGTACCAGTTTGTGTGCTGGGAAATGTGAAGACTTCCTTAGTAAAGATGTATTTATTATGAACATGATATTTATGTATTTATTTTTTTGTGATTATGGATCTGTGAAACGGGCTTCCAGCTGTAACCACAGCTTTTATTGGGTTACTTTGCCCAGAAACACTGTGTTCATTTCCCTCAGTTATGTTTGGGTTGTATTAATGTAAATACTATGTATATGAAAAGATGCTGAGAAACATGTAGGAAAAAAAATAGATCTATTTATTCTGAAATGAAGTTTTATTTCCAATGTTGGAAGACATTACATAGCAATAAACATTGCACAGAGTTGACCTCAACTAATGAGTTGTGCTGATCGATCGTCTTTTGTTTGTTCTTTACGGTCGTACAAAAACTTACTTCCTCTCCTTATAATCCTTCCTTTTCGGTTGCTTTTTTTCTTCCCACGCCTCTTCATCAGCCAGTCACCTTGTCCTGACCTTGACCCTTCTCCTGCGGTGCAGAAGGATTGAAATTCCTCGCTCCCGCTCTGATCTTGAGCCGCTTTCAGAGCTGCAACCCCCTGCCGTGTTTTTTTTTTTTTTTTTTTTTCGGTCTTGCAGCGGTGTGATGATTAGACTTCTCGTGAAGTTTAAATATTTTCCAGCACAGAGGGAAGTTTTTTCCACATCACAGATGGAACCGTTTGAACTTTCCAAAAAATTTATGCAATCCATAAAAAGAGAAAAAGATGTAGATGACATGGAATCTGAAGCGTTTGTCTCTAGTTCCCCCAACTCTCTTAAAATGTCAAGTTTTTGTAGTGTTAAAAAAAATGAGTCAGTAATAATCTTTTTTGTGTGAAATTTATCGTCCATCATTCAACTGGAAACACTAAAACTGACATACTCTTGCTGTGGACCATTTTTGTAGCCTTAAACTGACTGATACCTTTATATAATGAAATCCTTTCTTTCTTTCTTTTTTACCCTTTATGACATCTCTACAAAATTTGGCTTCTGGCAAGAGTCAGAACGGTCCAACTTCATCGACAGTAACTCAGATCCTCAGCTATTAAAATGGACTCGTGAATTAAAAACAACAAATAGACTAAAACTGGATCAAAGGATTCATACGCAAAGTGTTTGAGTGCACACGCAATTTTGCAACCTGGTTGTTGCAACTTTTTCCAATTTACAAATTTTCTGTTCTTAACTTTCCATTGAGCTGCTCAGAATAAATGTCATATTATAGATGGAAAGTTTTAACGTTTATTTATTTATCATCTCTTTTTTTTTTACATCACAAAACCTTGATGAAGTGAAGTCTTTTATATTTTGTATGGGTGCGACGCAATATGAAATAAATTGTGGACAGAGGACTCATAAAAATAAAACCTTATATTCTAGTCTATAATTTATTTATTTTTTATTTTTTTCCATTTCCAAGGTGCCGAAATAAACTGAGATTGGGAGGTGCTTCATGTGGATCACTTTACTGAAAGTCTGTCTAAATACTTTTGAAAGATTTGTAGGCACTATTGGCCTTTATTCAAAGTCACCAGAAAGAAAAGCCTGAGGTTGGGATTGGAACCTCAGACCTCAACACCACAAGCTGCCCTGACTTAAAGAATGATGAAAAAACTAGGAGAAAGAAAAACAACACTTTATTCATCAGTTAAATATCACATATGCTTGAATGCATCATATTTGGATATTTATTTTAACATCAAAGTTTGATCAAAGGTAAAAGTTCAATAGATGACCAAAGATATATCAAAAAAAAAAAAACAGGAAACCTGACTAATTTAAACATGATCACAGCTATAGCCCTGTTCTCCCTCTGTTCACTGATCTATAACACAACATGTGAAAAACACCATTTAAATCATATTTTCCAAAGCGAGATTCTGAATAGTGATCAGTAATAGTTGAGTTGTAGTCAAAGATCTCATTGTGTGTGAGTTGTGTTTTTGTAGTGAGAGGATGAAATCCAGCCATTTTTTTTTCTTCTTTTTCCGTTTTAGTCTGTCAGGATTGCAGCATGTTAATTTTTGACTTCAGAATTTGCGTGATAAACGTGACCCAGTTATTCCTGGGATCGGTGGGTTCTTTCCAATAGACAAAGAATCAAGACAAAGAGCTTCTCAATTTGAAGAGATCACTAAAATTCCAGTGTGTTAACAAAAAGCCCATGGAGGAAACTCCTTCCGCTGAGCGTCTACCAAAGATCAGGTATGATTTTAGGGTTAGAACATAATGAGTAAAATACTTGTGTTGTTTTACTGCAAGTTATTTCACTAGTAGTTAACACGTTTATTTATCTGTAGTTGACAAGCAGTTGGAAGTATAGAAAATGTCAGGTGAATATCTAACAAAAACAAAAAAAGATTTTCACCTTCATCAATTCTTTGCCAAAGCATCTGTAAAATCTTAGCTTGTGCAATCAGAGAGTATGTCTTCATGTCATCAGCATATGATTTAATGATGTGTTTATGTTAATCCTTTTAATGAGTAAAAATTGATGTTTGCAAACTATGTTTGCAAACATCAATGTTTTAGTTTTCAATACCTTTTTTCACCTGAATGTAGCTGAAGACTTTGCAGGCTATCTGTTCAATTTCAGACGCTTCTCCACGCTCCATCAGACATGCAAACCAGCCGCCTCCAATGTAAGCCAGGTCAGAGTAACCGCTGGGCCCCTCGTTGAGGATCCAAGGGTGGCTCCACGCACTTGGATCCTGCGGGGATTTGTTCAGATAGACCCCCAGGTCCACTCTTTTGGACTGACTGGTTGGATGGGAGTACAGCAGCCACCCCGGCTCCAGATTCACACCAGCCGCTCCAGGTTGAGCGGGAAAGGAGACCACACTCCCCTGACATCCTCCGCCTGTTTCCACGAGCTTCTCAGCAGGAGGGAGGGTGAGGAAATCCTCTCCCCCGTTCTCGCTGAGCGCCTCCACTCGGTAGCCTCCCTCATTGCGGGCATTGCAGTAAACGTACCTGGTGCCATTGCCGTCTGAAACCTCGGCCATTTCGCATTCGACCGATTTGTCGTCGAGCGTGTCGCCCAGCTGCCACGTGGCGCCGTTGTCGTCGCTGTAAAAGCAGAACGCGCGCGAGACGGCGAAAAAACACGACACGCAGAAGCACGAGGGGAAGCGGGAGACATAAGCGTAGGCTGGAACGATCAGTCTGCCGCTTTCTGTTTGGAGGCCGTGACCCGGACCAACGGCAAACGTTGCCCACTGTTTGGTCTGAGGAAAATTTACTGTCAAATCAGTGACCGAGCTCCAGGTCTCACCGGCGTCTCTGGTCGTCATGTAGCAGAGATGGGCCTTGTTGACGCCCCAGAACCTCTGCCATGGTTCCGAAACGTTGCCTTCGACGCAGATGAAAAACAGAAAGAGTGTCTTGGTCGTCTTTTCGTAGACCGGGCACGGATTCATGGGACGGTATCCACTAAGATGGACCTTCTCCACCACGTTTCTGGAGACTGACCACTGCAAAGGGACATGATGTCTCTGAGTTAGAGCCATGCTGAAATTAATGGCATCGCAAGAAACCAGTTGGTTTAGACCAGAAAATGTTTCTCCAACATTTTCAGGCTGAGGACCTCTTAACCCATTTAACAAACACTCTCGGACCACCTAACTTGAAATGATGTTGCGATAACCCAACATCTTAATATCAGCAACCTGAAATGAAAATATTAACTTTTAACTGACTTATTGTTGTCTTTCTTCATCCTAAAGAGAATGATGATGATGACAAAACCATGAACAAGTCTACCGGAGGCATTTTGAGCAAGTAACAGATTCTAACCTGTGTATTCTAAGCCCAACATAAATAATTCTTTTATCTCAGGTGCTACACATGCAGTTAGTCAGCGTGAGACACAACGCTGCTCAAAAACAAAACTTCGGCAAATAAAATGGTGGTTTACATGCAGTACCTTGCGGCCCACAGCCTGAGAGATTGGTTTAGACGATTTACCTCAACACTCATTTCAAGAGTTGCTTCGTCTTTGACCAGCGTTCCTGTTTTCATGACCAGAACCTCTGCACTGGCATCGTTTGAGGTTCTCCGCTTCTCTGCGAAGGCCAGCAGGATCTTTTGCTCTTGGTCATAGTGCAGGGCAGGAATCCTGTAAACCTCCTCTTTGTTGGACAGAAAGACGGTACTCTGCTGTCCGGAGGTAAGCAAGGCTTTTTTTTCCATAGTTTCTCCTCTGTGGAAAAAACAATCAATTAGTGTTTAATTGTGAGGGAGGAGACTTTATTGCAAGGAAGAGGGAGCCATGGGAAATCAAGCGTCTTGATTACAGGTAAACAAGGGTGAAGAACTGAAGTTAGTTTTATCTGAGGTCATTTGGAATAAAGGTTCCAGCGGAGGGTTAGGAAGATAAGACAAGAGTTTATTGTGTCATTAATAGATATAGAATACCAACCCAAATGATAAAATGCTAAATGAGACCAAACAAATCAATACAGTTTATGAATGTTAGCTGCGCGTTTTGTTTTCACGGTTCCTGCAACAACTCAAAGTTCCTGTTGGTGGATCGTTGTCAGTGTTGAACTTTTTGCTCATTCTATCTTGCTAAATAGTTCAAGTTCATTCAGATTGGACAGAGAGTGTGACTATCTTTTTTTTTTTTTTTGTACACCAAGTCTTGCCATTGGGTTCAGCTCTGACCTTTGACTGGACCGTTCTGGCACCTGTTTTGATCTGAACAATTCTGGTAGATCTCTGGCTGTGTGTTTGATGTCATTGTCCTTCAGCTTCCTGGTCCCTGTTGAAGAAAAGCATCCCCACTGCATGATGCAGCCACCACCGTGCTTTACTGTGGGAATGTTAATTCAGTTTTGCTCTTCATGGGCAGAAAGTTCATCAAATTGGCAGCTGAGTTATAAAAACCATCAAAAAAATGAGTCATAATCTTCCTCCCACTTCAGCATTAAATCTTTGTAAAGTCCCAATAAATACATCAAAGTTTGCAGCTGTTGGAGTCCAAGGGGTTTGAATACTTCTGAGAGGGATTGCAGAAAAGCAGATAGAAATTGTGGAAATGTTTTCCTGACTCTAATGATCCAAAAAATGCCAACGGTGGATTTTTTAAAAAAAGATTTTGAGAGTTTAGAGAACAGTCTGTGTGATTTAGGTTATTTCCAAACTAATATCTGCACTGCTCCTACGAGGGAAGGATGATGTCTCATAATATATGACATCATTTGTCCTTCTACAAAAGCAGCAATCCTCCTCAACTCAGCTGGACAACATGAGGCTGCAAAATATCAGAGGCTCTGAACTAATTTCACCAGCCTAAACAAAGACACAGAAAAACCTTCAGCTTCTGCAGATGACGTGACATGAAAATGTTATTTATTTATTCTGTTGTTGAGGTATACATCTGACACTGGAGCAATTATTGCAAAAATGATTTGTAAAAATATATTTAAAAAAATTAAAGGAAAAAAAACTGAACTCACCAACTGCAGTGACTCGCTGCCCAGAGGAATCCTGAAGGATGTGATGACTGTAGAAGGGCGGCCCCTTGTTATAGTCTGCTGGTTTATTGCTCCATGTTTATCATGTTGTTCTCTCTAATTATGGTAAAAAAAAAAAAAAGAAGCAGAGTTAGCGATTGTCATTTGAATCCTAACCAATCAGTTAGGCGGTGTCTTCGTCGGGCAGCCGCCGCCTGATTGGTTTGTTCAGTGTGAAATGCAAAGCGTCCACTCGGTTTATCTGCAGGCTCCTGTGGAAATATTTGTTTGTTCCCCACACTCTGCTCCCTCACTGGTTGACCTCTACAGACTCACCTCCTCCCCCCTGCCCTCTGCTGCACTACAACTCGCAATCTTAGGATAAACTAGTTTGTCTTTATGAGCTTATGTCTTCCATTGCATACAGTCTGTAACCCCTTCACAGGGGTTACAGACTCCAGGATTTGTCTAAAATCTGAAAACACTTCTGCCTATTTTAATAGTTGCCTCATTCACCTCAGTGTGTGGTAATACGCACAATGGAAAATATCTTGGCAGTAGTAGATGATGTGTAGAATTGGTCATGTGTCTTGGCAACATTATGGTGGCTAAACGAGTCTCAAAAAGTGACACCTCCGATTCTGATCGATAGAAAATTGAAGAGCTAAGAACAAATTCATTGGAATCTGTTGGTGTGGATTTCTTTGGTTTTGGGACTCCAGTGAATCAGAGTGAAAACTATGATCTGCAAATGGAGAAAACATGAAGCAGTGGGGAGTCTTCCAAAAGTTGACCAGCCAACTAATATTACCAAAAAGCACATCAACAATTCATACAGGAGCTCATAAAAAATAAACAACTAACATCTGAAAATCGGTTGAGGTCGCCGTGTTTGATTCAACATGAATCTGGGCAAAAATGTCCTCAGTCAGAGAGTTGAAGGCACAAAGTCATTGCACAGCAAAGCAAACTGTACGGCTGTTCAATTTATACCAAAAACAGAACAGCGTGATGCACTGGACTGCTTTACTGCTTCATTACCCGGACAATGTGCTGCAAATTGATGTAACCATGAATTCTGCTCTCTGAGCTCAAGCCAGCAGAGCCAAGATGAAGGTTTTCAAATGGACACAGTGTTGAAAACTGATAGATCTGAATCTGACTGTTCATGGAACTTCTTTTGACATGTGAACTGTGGATGCCTGACGTTGGAGTTGGGATGTCGGTGCTTCTGCTACATGGTTAGCATTCACATGCTACTTCAGGTCTGAACAGCTTCACTGATAGGCTGAGTACTATTAGCACAACTTGAACGCAATAACAGTCTTGTCCAGTGTCACATCAGGTTATGTTTTAAAGTAAAACCCTTTGCTGTTGATGACATGCAAACCCGGTTTGCATGTAATCAGTAATGACCTGGTTCTCCATCAAGATTGCAGACCATTTGAGCTGCCACCAGCCTGACACAAAACCCTGCTCTGTTAAAAGTTAATAGAAAATTCAAATGTTGCTCATGGAAATGCCTAACCTTGTACTGAGCACTGGGCAGAACACTGATAATTTTTAACCACTGTTTAAAACACTTTTCTTCTCATTGTCTTGTGTCCTATTTCAGTAAAATATAAAGAAAGTTTATTACCTTTTATTGTTTTTGTTTCCTGCTATCTTTGATTCTGTTTTATCGTTTAATTGCAGTTTGTATTTATTGCGGAGGAGCTGATTATTGACATCATACTCTGTGATTATACCAGGTGGATAAATAGACTCTTGGTCAAACAACTGGCATAAACACTCATATCAGGTTCAGATGATTTCACAGTGAACTATAAAGTTAGAAATTTCCAACAGTGGAAAAATGTCGGATGTCAACATTAGCCTAAATTTTTAAATTTGTGCGTTCCTACTATTTTTAAAATTATTTCTCAAACATTCACCCCTCTGAATAGATTTTATTCAGCTTGACTGGACTGAATGGGCGGAAGAAAGGTCATAATTTTGTCACTGCAAAAAACGTTTAGCCAGAAAAAAAAAAAAAAAGATTAGGACATGTATGTATAAAAAAGACAAAACAAAACAAAAACACGAATGCATCCTTCTTATTAACAGCTGTGTAATATTGATTTAAAGAACTATAAAGAAAATAACAGTTTTTTTTTTAAATCGTTTTGGACACTTTTCTGTAAAACTGAATGAGGAAAAGTTTGAATTTTCTCATTCTCACTGAAGAAGCGACTCTGTTCAGGTTTTCCCAGGAATCCAGATCTACAGAATGATTTCTAGCAATAATGAATAACTTCTGCTGAAAAATGTTTTTTTTTTTTTTTTTTTTTTTAATGAGCGACTTCTCATGGAAATATTACAGGACCCCGGTGAGACGGGTCGCTATTGGTCGCATCTCAACGCTCTGAAAGCATTTTCAAGTCCGTCACTTTCGTGCACTAAAATTTTGTTTCATCTGCTGTTTTTCAAAGTTATTTTGTGAAAAGGAGCTAATTTATTCCATTTTGATAAGAATTGTCTTTCCAAAATCTCTCTTATATTTAGCTTAATTATGACAAAATATGAAAATATACTCTGCAGGTATCTGTTTAAATGCAGATATGTTCAGGAAGTTTCAAATCACTGAGGGTGTGTAGATTGTAGAACATGTGGTGTTACCATTAGGGTGCAGCGATTGCAGTTTTTTAGTCAATTCCGTCTTTTGACCATGTTTTTTGTCTGAAAAGTCCATTTTTATTCTTCTTTTCCTCACATATTGACTGATTTTCCAAATTTAAGGAAGTCTAGATCAAGTCGTCGACTCTCTCCTACTGTAGAAGTAGGACAGTGTGAGGAAGTTCCCTAATGTTTAAGACTGCACTGACTTACAGTGGAGAGCACGTCGCCATCTTGGTGAATCAACATAGATGTGTTCAGCTAAATCAGGTAAAAGCAGGACTGAAGCTTACAAAAACCAGGAGGTTTGAATTTTTGAAAGCTGGTACAGATTTCAGTTTAGCCAGAAAAGAAAAAAAAAGATTAGGACATGTATGTATAAAATATTAACCCGTGTGTTAAAAAAGACAAAACAAAACAAAAACACGAATGCATCCTTCTTTCTCATAACCACAACTTTGATGTTAATATTTTTTGCAGTGGATTGCTCTGTATTACAGTTAAAAAAATAAATAAAAAGAATACCCTTATGCTGCTGAGAGAGCTAAATCTATGATATAAAGAAAATAGCTAAAGATATAAGATGCATTTGGTGTTGAGGTGTGATCTATTGCCAGACAGACCCCAGATTTTATATTAGTGCTATGAATTCTGTAAGGCGTTTTTTTATTATTATTATTTGTTTCTTAAATGTTCTCGTTTCCCTTCTAGTTGTCAGAGGAAATGATCAAAATCAGGTATCCTGAGGGGGTCAAATGGAGGCTCGATGGATGGTCTGCCCTGAGGCCCACAGGATGTTGCTCAGGCCCTGCTGAAGTCAACCAGCTATCAGAGGAAGAGAACTTTGTCCTTTTGGAGACTTTAAATGATAACAAGTCGATTAACACAAATCAATCAGACCTGCACTGATAAATCCTTTGTGGTTGGAAAGAAGAAATTCTAACATTTGCAGACAAACTTATGAAATATGAATCGTTTTTATGAGCGCGTGTGGTGGAAGGTGTTCATCTGACATTAGAGTGTAAAAAGGGACGCGTGTTCAGCAGATTCATGGTTGAGCCCTGAATGTTTTCAAGAAACCCAACAAAGATGGGCGTGAGCTGCGAGGGGGCGGGGCTTAAAAACAAAAACAGCCCAGAGTCCAGCGCCAACATGGCCGCCACGCCGACTGGCCCACCCTCGTGTGGAAGATCACGAGTGGAGCCTCAATGGCCGCCGAAGCGGCTCGGTGGCAGCGCTCCGGTGGGCGGGGCCAACGGCAGACCGGAGTCACGTGACCCGCGCAGATCCAGGCTGAGCAATTCCAATATGGTGGCCAGCTTGGCAGCTCTACGGTTCCTGTTGATGATATTGTTGTTCTGCGGGATCAGATTCGGCGCGTGCAGCCGGGAAGCCCCGCAGGTCGTGGGGCTGCGGCTGGAAGACCCCGGGGGTCCGGCGCGCATGAAGGACCGGATCATCTCGGCGCCAGAAGGAGCCACGTTCCAGCTCCGGCTCTTCGGGGCCAATCTGAATGGGAGCTGGCCGTGGCCGTGGCTCGCGTTCGCTGGGGCGGCTGTGGGAGCCGGAGGGGCCGCCGGCGATGCCGACCCGTGCAGAGAGGAGTCCAGTCGGCAGGAGTCCGCCTTCAATCCCACGGAGCCGTTCAGAGCGGACGAGCCGAACAGCGGGCTGCTGACCGTGGAGGTGAAGAAGCGTGGGAGCATCTCCGCGGATTTCTACCACCTGTGTGTGCAGGGAGGCGGGATGTGGGCATCGGTGGGCCCGGACAGGCTGCAGGTCAGTCCGGGAGAACCTTCAGCCTCCCCACGGCCGGATGTGACCCCGACGACAGCCCCTCCTCCGCTCAGTCTGACCCCCACGGCGCTCCCCCCGTGGGCTCTGGCTCTGCTGGTGGTGCTGATGCTGCTGATCTGCGGGCTGCTGAGGACGGTCAACCTGAGCCTGCTGTGGCTCGACCCCGTGGAGCTCTATGTCCTCCACAGCTGCGGGTCCGAGGAGGAGAAGCGAGCCGCCAAGCGCCTGGAGCCCATCAGGAGGAGAGGGAACTTCTTGGTGAGTTTGTGAGGCAGAGCGAGTAGGAAACGTATCGCGATACGAGGGTTTTACTCGATATCACTTTCTGTTTTGAATATCAAACCGGCGGGTTTATCCACAAGTTTCTCTTGTCTTTGTTCATATTCACTGGTGAAATCTCAAACTGTTGATGTGCGTTTTGATATTTAACGTTGTTTTGACACTAGATATTTATACAACAAACACACTGGACTCAACCCAGTTCCTTTAGATTGCTAGTTGACCGCTTAACGATGTAGATAACTAGTGACTGTAGTTGGTTTGCTGTCCGTGAGAAGTTGAGCTGTGTAAGACTTTCCTCTGCCTACATCTCCCAGAATGCTGTGCGGCTCTGGATCGGAGTTCAGTGGAATTATTGAGCATTGCATCGGACTTACTGTGTCTTGATATTGATATTATCTCACGATGTATCTTTATCAATTCATTCCTAGTCGGGGGGCTGTTTGGTTTCCTTCTTGCCAACAAAGCTCTCTCCCACCCAGACATGCTCGCTGCTCTTCCTCTGCGTCCTGGGACACTCTGTCCTCGGGGTTCTCCTCTACCGGGCCCTGGGCTCCATAGTCTCGGCGGTTTTCACCAGCGGCTTTCTGATCTTCTTCCTGGCTGAGCTGATTCCTCACATCTTGTGCTCCGGCTACGGCTTCCAGCTGGCGCCCGGGCTGACCTGGCTGGCCCAGGTCAGCATGGTGCTCACCTGCCCCCTGTCCTGTCCGCTGGGGTTGATTCTGGACCTGGGCCTGGGGAGAGACATCAGCACCTGTGGGATACGGGAGAGAGCCATGGAGATGATCCGGGCCAGTGTCAATGACCCTTACAGGTACTATGAAAAAAAAAACTAAAATAATAATAATAATAATAATAATAATAATACATATATAGATGCTAAATTTAGCACATATTTGATATAAAAAAAACTGATTTACATTTATTTAGAAACATTACATCCCTGCTTACTGCTGACAGTAACGTAAATACAGATTTATTAAAATGTGGTGTCGTGTTGAAATTCATCCAGGTTATTAACATTATTATAGTTTTGCTAAAATACGTCGGAAAAAATTATCAACTTTTCAGACAAGAAAACCGATATCAGCCAAAACAATATCACATATTGAAATCTACCCAAATTTTTAAGCCCTAAAATTTTTTTTATAGCATATTGATTAAAAAATGTGCAGAGAATGGATTTTATTTATAGTAGTTATGTTTTTGCTTGCTTATTTTTATTATATGACCAACAAACACACAGACGTTAGTTCTTTGTTACTTTATATTTATAGAAGTTTTATGTAAGAATGGTGAGATTGTTTAAAAAATTAAACTTTTCTAAACAATTAGTTTTATTGTGAAGGTTTGAAGGAAGTTGCGTTTGAAGTTCCTCTGCTGTGTTGACAGTCCAGACAAACATGTGGCTAAATGGTGGCAGACTAACAGTAGCTGCAGGCTGAGGACTTCAGTCTCCTTGTTGTTCTTCTTTCTTGACAGAAAATCCTCCATGTTGGTCGACCAGCACCAATAGGAGAGGAAACGGCTGCAATCGGCCAGATTACTAGTCACATGTTTGGCTTTACTCTGGAGAGGTCTTTGTGTTTTCTGCTTCCTTGAAGCAGATAAAAATGCTCTCACACCAAGTATGTGGATCAGAAGCTGAAACGTTTGGATTAATCATATTCATATTTAGGCTCATTGCTCATCCTGGTCTTTATGTGTTCAGATTGTGATCAGGATGGGAGATTTAGTAGAAGGAACAGCCAAGAAGCAGGAAGGAACCTTTAGTTCTCAAATAAACATTGATCCATTCACGGATGATACCTTTACTTCAAACATATTAGAAATTTAATAGTTCAACTGGTCGATTCACACTGTGTCTTAAAGGGACAGTGCATTTCAACGGTGGGATACCTGACCCAGATTGGAAAGAAAAAGATACACAAGACGATACTAAGCAGACTTCAAGCGTGTTAAAGTTTAACAACAGAACCGAGGACATGTCTGCTGAAGACTTTAGCTAGGACGGCCTGCCGGGTCAGAAGGATTCGCAGTGCCGGGTAGAGAATGTTTGACTTGTTCCAGTAGAGCTGAGACATGTTTGAACTAGACACCCGCAGACTGAAGACGACGCGTCTTCCCCAGGCAGGAACATTTTCCAGGAATCGGTGTGGATTTCTTGGAGGCCGTCTCCACCTTCCTCCATTTCCAGAGCATCCGTCACCATAGAAACAGATTGCCAGAGTAGATAAAATGGTGTGAAGTGTTTGCCCTTCGTCTTGATTTCCTTCTATTTTTTTTTATGTTTCTCACACTTAAGTGTTTCAGAACCTCAGACCAGTTCTATTTAAATACAACACAAGTAAACTCAAAATGCAGTTTTTGAGTGAAGATGTTTATTATTAACGGCGAAAAAAAAGCCCAGACCTACACAGTCTTGTGTGAAAAGTTAAGATCCGATCCGATGTTATCTGCATCGGTCTTGATTATTGAAAAAAATTCTAGATTGGGTGTTGGTGACAAAGTGCCCAATTCATAAGGCAGATCAATTCAGTCTAATTCTAAGCTTAATTTATTTTACGTTATAATTAGAATTCCTAATTGCACTTTCTAACCCATTTGAAAAAAGATTTATTGCAGTTAATTTTTTACCTCTTCGACCAAAATACTCAACCGATTGTTTTTGTTATTTTCCATCGGCTGTTCTAATCGCTGAGACTGAAATAAAGATTTGTTTCCACGTTTGAACAGGCTTGTGAAGTTATTGATGATTTTAAGTGTGTTATGCTGGTGCGGAATTATCAAATAAATTTGTAATTCAGTGCATTTATGCCTTTGTTTAAAAAAAAAGAAGAAATGTTTTAAGTCTGTTCAGCCCTTTCTTGATGTATCGGATCGGCATCAGCCGATACTAAACCTCAGATATTGGTATTGGTTTCGGAAATGAAAAAAGTGAATTGGTGCATCCATAGAAATGGTAATCTGGGACGTGACATTAGAAAACATCTTCACGTTTCAGCTGATGATCTTCCAGAAACCTGGTGTCAAAGACCAGTGAGACGTTTGGACTTTGATTTTGAAGACTAGAATGGTCGAGAAGAGGTCTGATTGACTTCATTGAGAAGATCATATGTTTGCTGTTACTGACCCGTGTGTGTGTGTGTGTGTGTGTGTGTGTTTGCACAGCGAGTTTGTGAAAGAGGAGTTCAGCCGTGGGATGCTGCGCACCAAGACGGTGGAGGACATCCTGACTCCCCTGAAGGACTGCTTCATGCTGCCCAGCTCGGCCGTCCTGGACTTCTCCACCATGTCGGAGATCATGCAGAGCGGATACACCAGGGTGCCTATTTACGAGGAGGAGAGGTGTGTGTTTAATTTCAGATTTTTTTGTTGTTTTTTTTTTTACGTAAATTCCATCTTTTCTTTTTCTTTGTTCATCATCTTTATCCAAGGAGAAAAGATGTTATTTGTTGCGTCTTTGTCTATTTCAGATGTTGAATCAAATAGTTTAGAGTTATTGCTTAGATTTTTTTTCTGTAGATTACCAGAATATCATCCAGCAGAAGCGTTTAGATATTTTTGTGCCAGTATTTGTGCGACTTGCAGCCATTTTTACTCGCAAGAAGTTTCTTCCACACATAAACAACTTGCAGATGCTGCTTTTTAAACACCAGAGGGCGCCATAAACAACTAATATACCCAACATAATTCCCCGCTTTCATTTTTTTATTGTAAAAAAAAAAAAACAGCTGTGTAATATTGATTTAAAGAACTATAAAGAAAATAACAGTTTTTTTTATTGTTTTGGACACTTCTGTAAAACTGAATGAGGAAAAGTTAGAATTTTCTCATTCTCACTGAAGAAGCTGATCTAGTAATTCTGTTCAGGTTTTCCCAGGAATCCGGCAATACAGAATGATTTCTAGCAGTAATGAATAACTTCTGCTGGAAAATGTTTTTTTTTTTTAATGAGCGACTTCTCATGGAAACATTACAGGACCCTGTAATGTTTCCATCTCAACGCTCTGAAAGCATTTTCAAGTCCGTCACTTTCGTGCACTAAAATTTAGTTTCATCTGCTGCTTTTCCAGGTTATTTTGTGAAAACGAGCTAATTTATTCCATTTTGATAAGAATTGTCTTTCCCAAATCTCTCTTATATTTAGCTTAATTATGACAAAATATGAAAATATTCTCTGCAGGTATCTGTTTAAACGCAGCTACATGTTCAGAAAGTTTCAAATCATTGAGGGTGTGTAGATTGTAGAACACGTGGTGTTACCATTAGGGTGCAGCGATTGCAGTTTTTAAGTCAATTCCGTCTTTTGAGCATGTTTTTTGCCTGAAAACTTGATTTTTATTCTTCTTTTCCTCACATATTGACTGATTTTCCAAATTTAAGGAAGTCTAGATCAATTCATCGACTCTCTCCTACTGTAGTGTGTGTGAGGAAGTTCCCTCAAGAACTTCCTCACCTTCCCTAATGTTTAAGACTGCAGTGAGTTACAGTGGAGAGCACGTCGCCATCTTGGTGAATCAACATAGATGTGTTCAGGTAAAGCAGGACTGAAGCTTACAAAAACCAGGAGGTTTGAATTTTTGAAAGCTGGTGCAGATTTCAGTCTGTTCCATTTTCTCTGTAAGGTCGATAAGAGCCACAAAATGGGTTAATTCAGACTTTCTTGTGAAAATAAAAACTGCAATGTGAAGCAGATGGTTGTTTCTAGCCTGGCAAATTCTAAGCTGACTTTCTGTCATGTCACAATAAATGTGATTCTAGGAATCAGACCTTCATCTAGAAGGTCTGATGTTTTTGTTTATGTTTTTTTGTTTTTTTTTTGCAGGTCCAACATTGTGGAGATCCTTTACGTGAAGGATTTGGCGCTGGTGGACCCGGAGGACTGCACCCCCATGACGACCATCACCAAGTTCTACAACCACCCGCTGCACTTCGTCTTCAACGACACCAAGCTGGACGCCATGCTGGAGGAGTTCAAGAAAGGTGAGCTAACATCCGAATGGCCAATCAGAGACCTTCCTGTTCTCACTTCACCCTCTGCTCTCTGCTTTTGTTCTCCACCAGTTTATCATTTAGAAAATCACATACTTCAGTTTTGTTTTTGTTGTTGGTTTTTGTTTGTTGATAACTCTAAACGTTAAGCTACAAAATGTTATTAGTCATAAAAACTAAAGCTTGGTTTATTTTTCTCATGAGAATTCGAATTGTTTTTTTCTTTCTTTTAGTGTTTATAAAAGGATGTTGAAAATTCCCAGAAATGTGGATTCAGAGAACATTCAATATTTTATTCAAAATTGTTTGGAAATAAATTGCCCCACATCTGCTCTATGATAGGTTGCTAAAGGAATATTATGTATAAATCTGCTTTTCCAATTTCTTTTTATAGATACAAAAATGAAAATTCTTTTTAATTTCATTTGCATTTATTTGGAAAACAAACACGAGACTGAATAAAAAATTAAGATTTAACTACAACAAAAAAACAAACCCTAATCCTTAACATGTTATCTATTTTTAATAGATAGAATAACTATATTTAATAAATTAATTCAATTTTTTGTTAATTTTTTCTTAGTAATAACAAAAAAAATTTAAAAAAAATGCAAAAATGTGTTTTTAGCTAGCGACTAAAATGGTCCACAGTATTAAAACACCAAAAAATGTATCCGTCTATCACAGATATCTCTGTAATATCCCATTGATCTGGTATATCAGAAAATATAACTACATAATCGAAAACAATAAAAACAGTCAAGTTTGATCAGATTTCAACTTGAATTTGATGAAATAAATGAACCAAACAGAAATCAGATTGTTACAGCACAAAAAATGCCAAAGGGACACAGATCCCTCTATGCAGTTAATGTGTATGAAAGACTTGAAGAAATAAAATGAATCACCAAAACACTTTGACATTTAAATTCCCGTCACAGCTCACAGCGTGTGGCATCTGCATCAACATCCCTGAGATCCAGCTGGGTCATTAGAAACGTTTCCTAGCTGCTCTCTAATGCAGCATGACGGCCGCACTCAGCATGTGCAGAAAGCTGGGCGCTGACTCAGCAGCTGCTGCAGCTGCAGCTGACTGAGCATGCTGGAAACACTGAGAGCTTTCTGCTGCAGGAGGGAGGGAGAGACAGAGAGAGAGAGAGAGAGAGAGCGCCCCACAGGCCGTCGCTTCTGATTGGTCGCTGCTTAGGAAAAACCAAAAACTCGTCTTGGAAGCAGCTGAACTTATCCACAGACCTGCTTAGTTTGGGAAATTTGCTCAGCCTTTGTTTTTCTGATGATGTGATTTTTCTAGCGGTGGAAAATTCAAACTGTTAACTTAGAGAGGAAAATATCCAGAACAGGGTTAAAATGTCCAGCATTTTGTTTCAGAATCGGGCTCCGAGTTTTAATCCTGGATCAGATCTCAAAAACAAAAAGGAGAAAACGGATTAAAAGAAATGAACATAATGAATCATTTATTTTATGTGATGTAAAAAAATAAGATGCAGGGCTTTATAAACTTCACTACTGAATTGGAAATTCTGCCTATTAAAGGAAGATATGCAGGTCTGTCATGATAACAGATTTTGCTTGAGGATAAATTGTTCCAGAATTTATTGCAATAAACGATGATGACGCTTTGAAACCTTTATAAAGTAATATAATTGTAATGAAGACACATTCCTAATGACCAATAAACTTTAACTTCTAATAAACATTCAACACTGGAAATGGGAGACATTCTAAATATACAAAATAAATTTAAAAATATGACAGAAACGACAAATAAAATGAATCATGAAGTCTATGTAAACAAAATTATTCTTCAAATTAAGGTCCAGTTGAGACCAAAACACCAGACTGAAGACTTTTATCACCCAGGTTTTTGTTAGAAAAAGAGAAAAATGATAAATCATGCACATAGAAATGGTTGAATTTTCTAATTTATCATGTGACTTCGTTGATTTGTCACATTCACATAACCATGTACAAAAGTCTAGCAGTTGTCATGGAGACAAGGGGACTCCCAGTGTGTGACTGCTCTGGTTCTGTGAGCTTTTGTTGTTTAAGTTTAATATTAAAAAGATGCTTCAGTTACAAAGCAGGAATGGTTCCAGTTAGTCTTTACCAAGTGAATTACATTTTTTATGCTTATTATTTTTGCTTCATTTCCGAGGCCTTTTACACACTTTATGAGGGATGAAAGAAAACTGGTGGCCATCGTGTGTGTGTGTGTGTGAAGGTCCATCTCTGTGTCTGGTCTTCATCTAGGCAACTCTCACATGGCCATCGTCCAGAAGGTGAACAACGAGGGCGAGGGCGACCCGTTCTACGAGGTTCTGGGTCTGGTCACCCTGGAGGACGTCATCGAGGAGGTCATCAAGTCTGAGATCCTGGACGAGTCCGACGGCTACTGTGAGTGTCTGGGAGAACTTTTCCCACTGCTGCGGCCGTTTGTTTCCGTGTTAAAACTCCGTCCTGACCTCCGCAGTGGACAGGAAGGTGAAGCGTCCGCTGACTCCTATGGAGATCCCTCTGGAGCCTCGCGGCTCCCACGAGGAGTTCTCCCTTTTCAAGCCTCCAGAGGGAGAGCCGAAGATCCGCACATCACCTCAGCTCCTGCTGGCCACGCACCGCTTCCTGTCCAGAGGTGTGTGCAAAATGACAAAAGGGTTATGCAAACAAAAGGAAAAGTCAGAAGTTGTATTGATGGGTTATAAACCTGGCTTTCCAGTTCAAACTTTTACTTGGGGTTTGCAAATTCTAGTGTATAGCTAGCTAGTAGATTAGCTAGTTATATTGTTCATAATAGGGGCAAAAATAAAAAGCCCTGCTACTTAGTTTTATAGCTAGTTTTTTATTTGACCAATTATGGAGGCAAAAAAAAAAAACTAGCAAGACTATATTAGCAGATAGTTATATGTGAATAAAACAACTAGGCAATGTCCAAAAATCAATTAAAAAGAGAGAATAAAGCAATCTGCTGGAGTTCCACTTGAGTAAGTGTAGGAACGGGTTGTGAACACTCTTGACGATGATGTTGTGGTAACAATAAAGACGCTGAAGTTCTGTCATATCCACCTTCAGAAGTGGAGCACTTCAGCCCAGCTCGCGTGTCTGAGAAGGTGCTGTTCCACCTGCTCCGCCACCCCAGCGTCAACCAGGAGATCCACTTCGACCACAACAACCGGCTGAGCCCGAGCCACTACCTGTACACCCGCAACCACCCAGTGGACTACTTCATCCTCCTGCTGCAGGTACGAAGTGCCAGATCAGCACGACTGCCGGGTCCCAATGGCATAAAGTCTGGGCACCACCACCGTAGGGCTGCACATACTTCATCTGGATCCCAACAGTCAACGTTAGGTCACGTGGTTTTAGGTTTGTTCATTTTTGCAGACACCCCTGCATCCCCCCCTGCATCCTCTATTGTGCTTTTACAGAATGGTCACAGAGAGATGTGGTGAGCAGCCATGTTCACCACATCTGGCCACAAATGTCTGACCAATCACACAACACCTCTCATTGACGTAGACGCATGACAAAAATTGGCTGTAATGTGGAGCAGATGTTTCACTTCAACGTGTCCGCTTCCTGTATCTGGCCTTTGAATCCACAGGAGACATAAATACTTTTAAAGATCGTTCATCAGACTCCGTGGGGGGTGATGTATTTTCACTACATAGCTACACAAACTGTGAAATGGCTAAAAACTCTTGGATGGAAATTGTGACGTTGTTGACGGAGGAGGCCGTTCGCAGAAAGGCGTGGCGCTCTGTCTGACTGTTAAGCAAAAGCAAAACAGAGGATGCAGGAAGAGAGTGGGAACCCCGGCGGGCAGAGAGGTGATGTGCACCGACGTGGGACGGTTGTTCCCCAGGTGGTCTGCGCTGTGGTGTTGAACGCAAACGTCCAGAAACCACATGACCGCGCGCTGACTGTTCGGCTTCGATTGAAACAGGACAACCGAAGCATGGTCAGGGTCGTTTGTAAATGTCACATTTTCATATGAACATTTTCAACAATTAGAAAAAAACAAAACCAAATCAGTTCCCTGCGTTATTGAGGCAGTTACAGCAGAGGCTGTTCTGATTGATCCCTGTCTGGTTTCAGGGTCGTGTGGAGGTGGAAATCGGCAAAGAGGGCCTGAAGTTTGAGAACGGAGCCTTCACCTACTACGGCGTGTCTGCTCTGACGCTGCCCTCTTCAGGTGAGATGATAGACTGCACTCTGTTTTCACTGGAACACCTTCGAGGAACAGTAGCTCATATTTTGATGACTAAGTGTTCAATTTTAATTTATTAATAGGAGTTATGTGTGATGATAATGTCTGCAACAAAAAAGGTTTCGATAAGTTACCTGAAGTCATTTGATATCGTTCCTAAGAGGAAATCTACTTGAATACAAGCTGAAAGAATTTCTTCCTGTCCTTTTTGTGTCCTTGCTTTTGTCCATGTTTCTGTCTCTTCCTCTGATCTTCTGTCCATTCCTTGAGTCTCCTGTAGAAACCGTCAAGTTTAGTATTTTCTGAAGGCGTTAGACGGTGATTCTGGAACAGTAAGGAAGTTTATAAATTGGAATATTCTTAGGTTTATAATTTGTCACGCTGGTTGCCATGTGAATTAGCTGCTTCATCAAAATCTAAAGTCTTCCTTTGTTGCTTTATTCATGTCCTCAGTGATAGTTTTGTTGCCCAGTAATGTGTGTGAATGAGGCTTCAGCAGACGGCCTGATTCTGATGGAGTCACATCTAGAATCCTGTGGTTTGGTGAAGGATCTCTGTGCAGTTTCAGACTGTGTGTGTGTGTGTGTGTGTGTGTGTGTGTGTGTGTGTGTGTGTGTGTGTGTGTGTGTGTGTGTGTGTGTGTGTGTGTGTGTGTGTGTGTGTGTGTGTGTGTGTGCGCGTGTGTGCGCAGTTCACCAGTCTCCGGTGTTGACCCAGCGGCACTCTCCCAGGGATCCCTTCGAGTCAGCAGACGCCACCAGCCCGTCCAGCTACTGTCCCGACTACACAGTGCGAGCCCTCACTGACCTGCAGCTCATACGGGTGAGTGGGCATGTCCACTGGGACACCTGGGGGACACCTGTGAAGTTCAAAGTTTTCACAGCTGCTTTTCACTCTTTCACATTTCGATTGTTGACTTCAAACCAACATCTCTCCTTCGCTACATGAACATCTCTGAGGTAAGCATCGCGATCTAATGTCCGTGACATTGAGCGCGCGGCCGTCTCGTTGTGCTGCAGGTGACCCGTCTGCAGTACCTGAACGCCCTCGTGGCGTCGCGGACGGGCCAGAGTCCAGATCCTCCAGAGATCAAGATCCTGCCCAACAGTCAGACCAAGCTGCTCAACGACAGAAACGCCACACCAGGTAGCTTTGCTCAGAACGCCGTCTGACCTGCCGGGTCTGCTGCCTCGCCACACCTGCAAACACCCCCACCCCTCTTTCTGATGCCTTCGTAGTGTTTTCCTTTTTTGTTTTTTTCTTAGGAATGTGCTTTCCTGTTTTTATTCCTCAAGCTGAACTGAATTAATTTTCTCTTTCTCTTTCTTTTCCCTCCTTGCGTGCCTCCTCTTGTCTCTGGCCCGCTCAGAGTTTCCTGTAAACTTTTCGTTCTTTGATACCATTGAGAACTTCTGTTAGAGGGCTTTGTATGCATGAGGTAAATCCAACCTGAGCCCCAGTCACTGACTTACTCACAGACCCCAATCCTGTCCTGCTGCAGGCTGACACATTTACCTCCTCATAGCGTTCTGTTTGTACTCTAATCATGTCCGGACCTTTGTGGAGGCATGAAGGTAAACGTGTCTTTGCTTTTCTACTCCTTGTTCTTTGCTTTGTCTTTAAATAACTTCCCCACTTTCCTGTCCTGCTGCAGCAGCAGCTCTGCATTCTGTTCAACCTCCGTTTCCACAAAACAAAGAGACAGCAATGTGTGATTTAATTAGGCCGCGGACGGTGATGAACTGCGTCTCTCTGGCGTCCATATTGGAGGTTCAACGTGTTAAAAGGAAACACCTTAAGCTTGTTGAAGAAAAGCTCGTGCTTTCTGTCTTCATGAGGTAAATCCTCATCAAAGTGCATCAGATTCAGCTCCATGTAAATTCTGATCGTCATGTGAAGGAGGCGGCTGCTCCATCATGAGGCGTCTGCATTATAGGGAGACGAGGAGAAATACTTTTACATGAATATCATACTGGCTCTAAATGCTTGAATTATGATCTGAGCAGCAAGAAACTCCTCCAGTGCTTTGAAAACTTCAGCCTATTTAAAAATCATCAGGAATGAGACGAAGCCGATGACCTCCAATATGTCCGCCCGGGGGAAGCCGAGACGTCGCCTTAGAAACGGTAGAAACAAACAGAATAGATGGCTCCATCTTTGTCGTCCCTGGCCTGTATGTGTGAGTGCTGCCGTCCCTGTTCTGACCTCACGCCTCACCCCAGCTCTCCTTTGATTGGTCGGGTTCCACAGGTAGCAGCAGAGCCCAGGAGAGCTCCACAGAAGAGGAGGCTCATGGGTAACACAGGAAACATTTCTGGTTGGACCAGACTGGAGAGAGAGAGAGAGAGAGAGAATGATTTTTTATTTTTTATTTAACCAGACCCACTAACTCACACGCCGCCTTTTTTTCATGTGATCTCTAGTGATTATTTTATACATGTATGTACATATGTCTGTATAAATATAAATATAGAGTGGAGAGAGAAGATATGTTACCTTAATATGATTATTTACTTTTCTGCGTTGATTGGTCCTAAATGTGATCTGAGCGTTTCCTGCTGCGTACCGGAGACTGAACCCTTTGATTCCATAAAGTTCCAGAGAACGGCTCCAAGACGATTCCACGAACCTAAGCCAGGGAGTGCCATCACAATCAGACCGATAAAAAAGAGACGCGAGAGGCAAACGCTGCTTTTAAACGCATTCGAATGAGAGGAAACCAAGTCAGAATGTCTGAGGTGGAGCCTTTTGAAAATAGTTGTTTCTGTCATTGTAAAATGTGGAAAAGTATCAGAATTATGTTATTTTTGTTTTTTCTATTAGCATCCAAAGATTCGTCATTGTCTTTGTTCCTTTACTTCCACAGAGGGAACAACTAAACTCTGTTTTTTCAAAGCCATTTTGGGGGTTAATAAGGAATATTCTGAATATTCAGGTGGTTGTGAATTCTGTCTTCCTGCAAACTGGATTCAACCAGGTTCTGCTGCTAAACTGGGCAAAGTGTGCTAAACAGGAATTAGCTTAGCTTAGCTCGGCGATTTGTGAGTGATGCGGGTAGAAAATGCAAAGAGGAAATGGTAGAGAAAATAAATCAATGTATAATTAACAAATAAAATATATCTATAATATTCCAGAAGAGGATCAGAGCAACAGGGAAAAAAGAATTCTGACTTTTCTTCTCAGAAATTCTAAGAAAATAAAGTCTGAAGGCAGGATCAGACATTTTCTGCATTTAGTAATTCCCAGCTTAGCAGCAGAACCGCTTTGGTGGATGTGATCTCTTGGTGCCATTTTTATTTGATTTGATTTGATTTTTCTGACCTTGGCCACGCCCATCGTTCTTTGTGAACTTTGAATCCTCTGAACTGGACATCACATTAAATAATGTCATTTCAAAGTATTGTTTGAATGAATTAGAATTTTCCCTGAACATAGTTGTTTTTTAATTTCATGTGTTTTTGGTCAGTCGCAGCTCAGAGACACATTTCTATCACTGACTCCTTTTTAAAAAAATAATCAACTCCCAACTGGTTTCTGCTCATGTCTTGATGTCATGGTTCACTTCCATCCTGATTGTTCAAAGACTTCGTGTGTGTGTGTGTGTGTGTGTGTGTGCGTGTGTGTGTGTGTGTGTGCGTGCGTGCGTGCGTGTGTGTGTAAAATGTTCTTGGCTGTTTTTGGAAGTGCAGCTCATTTTAGAGAAACATATTTTATGTTATGGAGGCGGTGCCTTTTTCTTTTTCTTATGTCTTCCAGGTTTAGTTCATTGCACTAAACTGTTGCATTATCATTTCTTGTACATATCTGGGTGCCAAAGTTACATGTGTGTATGTATCCGTTCTGTCTCAGTGGAGATATTAGTAATGATTTTAATCCAGTGTTCTGCATTTTATGACATGTGAGGAGAATCCTGATTGTTTTTATTTTTTGGGCTGATTGTGAAGTTAAACAGATCATGCACGTGGTCCACATTTCAAGGTCTGATCAGAACTGTAAGGCCTAAATAACAACATGAGCTCTCCATTTGTGGAAAACTGTCTTCATTCAAAAATTAACATGTTTTTGGGCGGGGGGCCGGATGTTTTTCAGAATTAATTTAAATAAAAGTTAGTTTCGAATGTAATGTGTTGATTCCAAACGAAAACTAAACTAAATCAGGTTTTTGCAGCCTGCGGTTCTGGAGCGGTTCTGGAGCGGCTCCTCTGATCGATCGTCCACCGTCACTCTTTCAAAAAGAGTTGAATGTTCCTAAAAATGGATCCAACAACAACATTCTGCTGCATTTGTAAAAACAAACAAACAAAAAAAGCTCGTTTTCTTATGTTGAAAATGATGCTTTTTTTAAAACCATAATTATTTAGCCATATCAACATCCTAAACATTTAGCCAATTTTTATAAATGGGCTCTTTAAAAATTCTGTTTTTTTTTTTTGTTTTTTTTACAGTAGATATTAATAATAAAATGAGAATCAGTCTTGTTTTAAAATGTCATGTAAATCGTGTGGCTCTATGTTTCTACCTGCACTGAGACTGAAGGTTGCAGATCCATGAAGTGAACGTTTGACCCAACCATCAGAACAATCACACCTGACTGAAGAAACCACTCTGTATTATCACAACGCATTGAGAAATCAGTGCAGATCAAACGCTGGCCATAAATCATTCAGTTTCGTTATGTTGGAGGAAATGAGGTAAAAGTGAAACCTGGAAAGGTTTATGCTGAACAACTTATTTTGAAATAATTAAAAAAAAAAATTCTTTAAAAATCAACATTAAAAACTAAAAAATAACTTGAATCCTCGAAATATTCGGCAACTTGAGGGTCCAGCAGTCCGAACCGAACAGAGCACCAACCGAAAGGTGAACCAGAATCTTGAAGTTCTGGTGAAACATTTGTTTTTGTGTCCCGTTTGTCACGTCGTCCACATCCAGGTTCGTCCTTCAGTCGTCAACATTCCACCAAACTTTGAATGTTTATGTGCCAACAGCTTTTAATGGTTGTGTCAGTCATTGCTGCACATGCATAAACAATACATATCAGAAATAATTCCTAAATAAGGAGTTTAGTTATTTTAATGCATTAATGAAAAGGAGGATATTTTTGAAATGAGTGTTTTAAGCAGAAGGTTTGGATGTTTGCAAGTCTCTTATTATTTGAACGGCATAAAGAAAAGCAGTGGGAAATGTATTATTATATAATGTTAAGAGGGGGGAAAACATGTTTTCGTGTTTTGTTCATTTTGGGGATTAAAAACATAAGAGGCGGCAGATCGAAAGTATCCGTGTCACTTTGAATTCTGTCCTGCTCTGAATAGGGCAGGAGTGACGGGATTAAGACTGGATCTCATAAAACCAGTTTAACATCGAAATATTCAAATCACTTCTATCTGCTAATTCCACTGGCTGGGATCACATGGGCCAAAAGTTCAATTAGTTTGAAAGTTGTAGAAGTTTGAGAAAATATATGAAATCTACACAACCATGGCAACTGCTTCAAATGAGTTGGCAATTAAAAGGATAGTTCAAATCTCCCAACAGTCGTATTGGGGGGGATCCAAACCTCTGAGTGTGTGTGTGTGTGTGTGTGTGTTGATGTGTGTTTTAGGAACCTACATGTCCAGGATGTCGTCATTCGGTTCTCAGTCTCTGCGTTTAGATTCGACACAGAAGAGAAGCTCCAGTTCTCCGGCTCTTGTTTGTCTTAAAGATTTGTTCGATTTGGTTCTTTTTGAGAATTCTGTTGGATTTGGTTTTTGTTGAATCCTTTCAATACTTTCTTAGGAAATAAAAGCAATCGTATTCTGTAAGTGTCTGTGTTTTTCTTTCTTTCTTCTTCTTCTCTTTGCTCACACAGATGGAAAGTCGGCGCACATCAAAGTTTTTTTTTTTTTACATACTCTGAGTAACAATGTGAAGGTGTGCTTTGTTTGTGCACAAACTTTTCTTTTTTCACTTTTCACTTCATGTCTGCTGAATGAATCAAACTGGAAACCTTGTGGGTTTTTTTTGTACAGTTGAGGTTCCAGTGGTGCAAACATCTCTGTAGGACGATGATGATGATGATGATGATGATGATGAGACCTTAAATAGGTCACCTTGACATTCAGCCTGTGCAGTTAGAAGGGAATGTATTTGCTACAGTCACACACTAAGCTGAAGATCTGGATGGTCTCACAAACCGCGTCGTCTTCCTGCTGAGAAAGTTTAGAGAATCGAGTTTTTTACAGGCGTTCAATTAGAAAGTCAAATTTCCTTTAAGACATATTTGATATATACAGAGTTTTTAAAGTAAATATATTTACTTGATTATGCTATGAAATGGCTCCCTGTGGCTGGACGACATGGAACGCTGTCCTGTGTTAGTTTTTAACACATGACTGGTTGATGTGGATAGAAAATCATCATTTGCTTTTTTTTATTATTTTAAGATGAGGTTTTTCTCATCTTAAGTTCTGCTGACATGTTGAGGACAGAAACAGTTTTCTGTCTCTGCCCACAAAGCCTGTGTGTAAACAGGGGAGTTCAGATCTATGCAAGCCTTTTGTGGGATTTTCCCTTATTGCCACTGGTTCCCACAGCATGCTTGACTTGTTTCTGCAGAATAAAGGTTATAGTTCCTGCAGCAGGAAGGAACCTCAGTGAGGAACTTTCTGTCTGGGTTTTACCCAGGTTCTCTGGCGCACTGTGGAGACGTGCAACAGCAAACCTTTAGGAAAGTAAATGACGAATATTTATTTTATAGAATTTAAAGAATATTTACTTTTCTTTAAATTCTCTGCTGGAAATGATCCGTGCATATTAGACGGTGTTGCATTTCTTCTATAGACCAGTAGCAGAAACTTGTGTGCCACAAGTGTTACGTGAACCGCAGTTTGAGAACTACAGGTTTGTTACCAAGCAAGCGCAACATTTTGCCTGCGTTTAGAGATGCTTGTCTTGTTGTGCATGTTTTCATATCGGGGTAATCTTTACCACTTCCTGCCACAGGCAACCAGATCAGGTGAGTGTGTGTGTGTGTGTAGTCTTTTTTTAGCTATAGTCAGGTGAGTGTGTTATAGTACTTTCCACCAGGCTGTTTGCAAAGTAAAAAGCAACAACTTTAATGTGCAGCACTACTTTTTAGTGAAAATCCTTCTGTACCTCTGGCTCTATTCTTGGTCCGTTTCTCTTGTTCTCACTTGGTGGGACAAACAGAAAAACTTTCCCCTCGGAGTTCAGAGTTGTTAAATAAAGATGTGGATTTTTATGCCTCTGATTTCCCAGGAAGTTGTTTTCTTTCAGACTTCAACTCTCACACCCCCTGGAATGGGTTTGGATATTTTTATGAGCTCAAATCAAATAAAAAAAAAAAAAAGGGATTTGCCTCTCATTAGTTTCTTGTGGACCAATACGCTGCAAAATCACAAAATCTTAGCAAGTATTTTTGGTGTAGTTTTCAGTGGATGAGTCTTAGTAGATTGGAAAGAACACAAAACAAACTGAAAAAGAACTTTTAAGCAAGAAATAGTATATATCTATAAACTTTTTTTCCCATTCTGCTTTCCATATACGTCAGCAGCAGAATACTGGAAATTTAGCGATGCAGCATCAGAGGATGTGGCTTTGCAAGGTGGGGGATTTAATGTAGGTCATAAACCTTCATCACTCTGAAGAGGAACCACATCACAACATTCACTGTTCATTACCTGACTTCAGGTTGAGCTATGAATCATTTCCAATCGATCCTGCTTGAAGCTTTAGTCAGGAGCCTGAAAGAAAAGAACCAAAGTTCATTTGAGATCACTTCAGAGAAAACCATGTTTAATCTGTTAGAAACCATCACTTGGCTTATTTCCAGACTTCTTACTGTCAGATATATGCTGGACTGTGCAATACGAGAAGAAATAAATTGAATTACAAACATCAATAATCTCCGTCCAAAAAATGTTCACGGCGTTTTACACTTTTGTGAACCACCTGCCTGCAGCCGTAGTGAAGATGATCAGCTGCATGATGTTCCTGATTTCTGTTCATTTGCTTCTGCTGGATCCGTGCAGATTTTCTTTCTTCTAAATGGAAACACAGAAATAAACGTCACTTTATTTAACAAAAAGACAAAGGGAAGCAGAGCTTTGCTACTAATTGTCCACACTGAGAAAAAATTAATTTAAATCCATTTTAAATCAAAACAAAATTAATTTAATTTAAAAATTAAGTTAATTTAGTCTTTAAAAATTAAAAAAGTTTAATTTAAAAAAGTAGCAAAGGAGAGAGAAGATGCTCAGTTATGCTAGCTTGACTTTGACAATCTTCACATGTAGATGTGCTGTGGAATTCAGTGAGCCAAAAAACCCAAAAACAAACACAAAAAAAACTGTATAATGTAACTTTCACCACATAAAATGTTTTCAGTTAAAATTGATGAAACAAAATGAACTAAAATCTGGATTATTAGACTAGGAGGTTTTTTTCTTTCAGTATTCATAACACAAAAACAATTTGGCTCAGGATGGATAATGCCCACAATGAAACACGGTGGTGGCAGAACAATGCTAAGAGCTCAGCTCTCTTCAGATGGAATTTAAGGCTTTGTCAAGTTATGAACAGACAAAGCATTAAAATATAATCACCAACAGAAATACCTCATGAGGGGAAAATCAAAGTTTTGAAATGGCCTAGCCAAAGCCCAAGTCTGACAGGCAACAGAAAGAAGGGGTGCTCTCAGTCAACGACCTGGAGGTGTTTAGCAGATGAATATTACCAATGCATGCAGACGGGCTCCAAGCAAAGAAATCTGAATGTTGAAATTAAATCATGAGATTCTTCAACAAAAGCTGCCACATCTAATAACCAGCTTATTGGATCTTCTTCACTTTGGATGGATTTCCTCTAACTGGTGTCATTTGTTCAGGATTTATGACAAATTAAGGTTTGAAAATGATTATTCAGTTCTGATCTTAACATCACAACATGATGTTTTAACTTGATCTGACATTTATCAGATTTTTTTTTCTCACATTCAGTGACTTGTTTTTTCCACTGGACAAAGAGGCAGCAGTGGTTTCCATAGCCACGAGAGAGACAGGCAGAGAGAGAGACAGAGAGACAGAGAGAGAGAGAGACAGAGAGAGAGAGAGAGAGAGAACCACCAACTTTCTAAAAGGAAGTCAGCTGCATTTATAAATTCTCAGAAAGAGACAGTGAGCCTGAACATCACCATCATCTGCAGGACTAAACTGAGGCACAATGTCGGACTTTGATTTGTCGGATGCACTGGACTGGTGAGAGGAAGAACATTTTCTACACAACTTGTAACTACAGAACGGAAGGATGTGATGAAAATTAATATGGAAATTTAATGTTGTGTTTGGAGATTTTATTTTATTCAGGGGTCTTGCTGCAGGATATCCATTGATTCACTTTTTCTTTAGCATTTTGCTATTTTGATCAGTTGGTTACACACCTGTGGTCTTGACCTTTAGGGTCCACTGGGACCCTGTGAGCTTTTTTAGGCAGGTTGCATTGGCCCTGTGTTTGTATCTGTGTGTTAGGAGCCGTGTGTATGTGTGTGTGTGTGTGTGTCTGTTTGTGTGTTTGTGTGTGTGTGTGTGTGTGTGTTTGCGTGTGTGTGTGTGTGTGTGTGTTTGTGTGTGTGGTTTTGAGAGCTAGGGCTCTCACGTGGCGACCTCCCACTTTCCCCGCTGACGGCCCGTGACATGTGCGCCGAGTCGGCGCGTGCAGGTCACGCTTCAGGGCGACGGGTCACAGTCTCGCCGGTTTTGTGATTATCTGGAGGAAACAGGAACATTCATTTCAAACCGGAGAGTTTGTTGGTTTTTGCAGTTCTCTGAAACAAAATCAACATAATGGTGTTACAGATTTCCAAAAGTTTTTATTTGATTTGGTTTGATTGATTGATTTATTTTTTATTATCATATTATTGAAAAACGTTTTCTCATTTACGGCTTTTGATAATATAGCAATATAATATAGCAAGACCGACCTGAGGTAGAAAAATAAAACAAACTAACATTTGTTTTATTTTCCCATCAGCCCACCTGACAGCAGGCGTCCCCCCAGCGACACAGAGGTAAGTTTATCATTAGGATAACCATCATGCATTGCAGCGACGTTCCTGCTGGAGAGGATTTGCATATTGAAAACAGCCTCAGCTTACTTTCTTCATGAAGCTGCATGAAGCTGCTTGAAGGTTCATTGGTCTTTCACATACACGGCCTGAGCGTATCTTCAATAAATGATTAATTAATCACTTATTTTCGCCATTTTACTTCCTCTATTACATACCAAAGACATTTAGTGGCGTGCCTTTCAGGAAAGATGAAGCATTATTCAGTCAGCTGCCAAGTTTTATGAAAAACATAGAACACCGAACACACATTCAAATTCAGTAAAACCCTCAAATTGGCACCAGGTGTACTTTCTGTTGTTCTTGCTCTCTCCAGCAGGATGTGGAGCATGAAGTGAAGCTCAGCGATGACCTGGACCTGATGGTCACTCGCAACAGGACGACCATGAAGAGAGTGGCCAACCTGGTGCTGGCCGTCAACAAGCTGAGCAGGCCCCTGTCTCTGTGCGGCAGAGAGCTCAGCGACGTGGAGCTCTGCGGCGCCATCCTGGAGTGCGTGGTGGAAGGTTGGTAGTGAAATATTTTAGGGGAATAAAAACAAACTTCCTGGTGATTTCGACAAAAACAATTGGCCTGTGTGTGGAAGGAAAAACACTAATCCTGAGTTTGCTTGCGTCCTTTTCCAATATCTAAGGTTTAGTATCGGACGAACACAATCTGATACAGAAAAATGCTGAACAGACTTACAACGTTTTTTGTTTTTATTTTGAAACATAGAAATGGGCAGAAATGAAAATGTATTTGACCACAATCTTGGTCAAACATGTAAACACAACAAATGTTAGCCTGTTCAGTCTCAGTTTCATCAGGAGAAGAAGAAACTGAAACTGAACAAATCAGTGGGTTGACTATTTTTGTCAAACATGTAAAAATAAACAGCAACAAACTTTCTTCCAAATGATTCAGAAGGTGCAACTATGAACTCTAAATATAATGTCAAATAATATTTGACATTATATTTAGAATTAGACTGACTAGATCTGCCCTTATGAATCAGACACATTGTCACAAATATTCTGTTGTTTTTTTTTTCAATGTCTGGACTGGTCAAGACATTAATATTGGATCGGTATATCTCTAATATTTAACACTGCATTTATCTAAAATGTTACGGTCAATAGGACCGTTGTGGAAAAAAAAACTGATCTGTGTCAACATTTAAAAATCTGTCCAAATGGTTCTTTTTTTTTTTTGGTAGTGTTTTTGAAAGGCACCAACATCTTGTCGTCTTTCTCTCCACAGAAACGATATTCAAGGAAGAATGGAATTCCTTCCCCAGACAACTGAAGCCTCTCTTCCGGCGGTGCAGCAGCAGTGTGTGTGAGGTCACGGTGTGCGACGAGTTCCACAAAGATTTAATCTTGACAACTCAAGAGATGAGACTGCAGGCCATCACCCTGAGAGCCGGAAACGAGGATCGCGAAGGTAACAGAGGAATGCAGGCAGTAGCGTTTTGGTTTTTACAAACTGATAAACACAGTAAAAAAAAAGTTAAAAAATACAATAAATGTGCTGCATTTACTTCTAGTACTTTGATTGTTACATATTTCCATAAGTTGCTGTTTTCCACCAAAATTCTACACCCATTGTCCCAAAAAAGTCAGAAATCATGAACCAAAAAAGTTCCAACATGAAAATATCTTTTTGATTCTATGTAATATAACCTTCAGCTTGTTTTCCGCACTCAGTGAACTTTGTGATGTGCTACTACAATCCGCCTCCCAGCATACCTTGTTTGACGGTTCTGCTGTCTGTCTCCAAGAACCTGCACATTTCTTGCTCCATGGAAGAAGGGAAAGTTTCGCTGAAATTGGAGGTAAACATATTTTTATCCCTGAAAGGATTTTTGCAATCTCTTACTGTACAGTTATAGCTTTGATTTTACTATATTTAAATTTGCACTTTATTAAACATGTTTTTAGATACTGGTTCACTTTTATGCAATTATTTTTGGCTAAAAGTAACATTTTAGGGTAAATAGAATCAACGTTCAACATGTGGACAGTGGCGATCATAAAAGGGGGACAAGGCGGGGCCAAAACTCCAGCTTAAAATATAATGATTATTGATTTGTCTTTTGAAAGATTCCTATCTTGTTTTGTATCAGGAAAGAAAAATTATCAGTTTAGTAAAAATAATTTAATATCTAAAGCAGGCGATGCGTGAAGAATTTTGGACTTAGCTGCGCACACACTGACCAGTCTGAGCATTCCTGTTCCTCAACTTGACCTTTGTTCTTGATGTTGACTCATCAGCCTGGGGGGAAATAATTACAGGGGTGAACAATATCAATTTGTACAATGACTGTATGTACTGTATGCCCTCTGTGTCTGTTAGCAATACAGCCAGGAGTCTCTGAAGGAGATCAGCCAGGCTGACGGCTTGGACCGCTTTCTCTTCTACAAGAACCCCCCACCCGGTGGCTCCATGTACAGATTTGAGTCGGTGAAGTTCCGCGGCTGGTTCATCAGCACTTCCTCTGTGGAGGTCGACAACTCAGTGGAGATGTGCCAGGAGACCGCCCACAGGGTCACCTGCTTCAGAGTCATGGAGCAGGGGAAGAAATAGACATTTAAGCTGTTTGCATTTCTTTGCTTCACCAGTGGATGGAGAAACGTATTTATTTCCTCAGGTTGCGGTAAAGCACCGTTCTGAGTTTTAAGGTATAAAACAAAAATATCTGTTTTTCAAGCAACAAAAACTGACTTGCTTTGCTACTTTGCTTAGTGGGAAGTAATGTAAGAGGATATTCCTAAAAATAATTGATGTAATGCTTTTTTTTTTTTAGCATATGATCTAACGTTATGAATGTGTTTCGTTATCTACTTATTGTATGACTATGTTTATGTATTTTGTTAAATTTGTCAAGTTTTTTTGGGAAATGTGTGAAATGTGTGTACGTACATAACAATAATTATCTAAGTACAATTCTGAATATTAATTTTATGCTATCGTTTCAGATAAATTACATAGAGAAGCTTTATTTATATATATAAATATAGGTTGGACTTTTTTCTTTTCAAATATTTGCATTTCAAATCTTTCTTCTGTCCTATTTCAAGTTTTGTTAAACCAATATTTCCATACTCATATTCAATAAATCAGAATGTGCTTTCTGACTAGGCTCATTTGTCAAACTTTTAGCAAAAATGACATATGCCATTTTAGGACAGTGACAGCATAAACTGTCACAATAAGTAGAAACAAAGCCAGGAAAACAACAGTCTGAGTGTAATTGATCTATGTGATCTATGTGTTTCACGGAGCGGTAATGATATCCTAATTTATTGAGTGGGTCTGCATCAGAGAGCACGATGGGCTCGAATTGGAGAAAACAGGATATCTTTGATGTTGCAGTGACCCCTGGTGGTGACACGTTATCCTGGGACACAGGGGTCAAACTGCCCTGAGACAGAGGCACCACACCAGTAGAGTCAGGTGTGGTGCCTCTGCTGCACCACCTGATAGAATAATTAGATCATTAAGACTCTGTCCTAGAATCAGTTTTACATTTATTGAACGGTTGGATATTCACAACAAGAAGGCGGCGTTTTGTTGCTGGCGCCATGGATTCTCCGCTACAAACACAACTAAGAGCAGAGGATTTTGATTCATTGTTGTCTTGATCAATTGCAATTAATGATGTTAAATAGAACAACAAAACTGATAATATTATCATAAATGTTATTTTGGATTTTTTTTTCTCATCGATATCAGTAAATTCAAAAACAATTGAATGCAGTTGCTGATATAAATCACAGTTTAGCTTGTTGACGGCCAGTTTAGGTAAATTGTCCTGTTTGGAACTTTTGAACAATATTTGTGTTTGTGGTGATATGAATGCTGCACCAGGCGACCACAGCTGAACAGCTATATGAAGACGAAGGAATGAAAAGTTCCTACCGTCTCTTTTATCATTGTTATGATAGTGACACAAAATGCTGCAACACAATTCTTAAGACCTTATCACCCACCATCAAGCGCCGTTGAGTGACCTGGTGACCTCGCTTCAGGATTACTTTCATGAAAGTAGATCAACAATGATTGAATGATCCCTGAATTGTATTTTTCCTAATGATTGTGGTTCCATCAATGCACTTTGTTGATTCCTTCCTCTGCTTCCTCCACAATGCGTTTAACCTAAAGCCCTCTCTCCAAATAAAGAGTGTGCCTTCCTGTCATCCTACTCGTCTCTTCGAGTTGCAATTTTATTCTGCCGGAAAAAAAATAAACCCAAAACGATTTAGTGACTCTGAAGCTTTTGCTGCATCCATCGCCCGTGGAAACGCGCTCGACAGCCAGTAATCTCGATTTCAGCGTTCTGCAAATTAAACGTCAACCTGTCCACATGCTGTACAATGGTGGACTTAAAGGGCCCCGGCCAATCAGAGGCGGCCTGGAGGACGCTAGGGGTCTCCTTATTGGCGGAGCCTTGGTGGGTCTGCATGGGGACACCTCAGGCTGCTTCTGAGAGAAACACTGCCGCTCCACATTCACATGGACGGCATGAAGCAGAATCTACAGAGATTTGCATTTCCTGTTAGAAATGCAAAAGAGCGGGGGAAAAAGAAACTCCATCAGATTGTGGAATCCTACATGTCAAATGTTTAATTCTGAAAGCCTTGTGTTTCACTTTGACTTCCTCAGGAAACAATTGTTAACTTTGCCTCATCTCACTGAAACACACACACAGATTCTCCTTCCTAATGATTGCACAAAGCCATTTTTTTCCATCAAGCGACTGTAAAGACACAAAAAGCACAGAAAAAAAATTATTAAACCTTAGAACTGATTGTCCATTTCAGCAAGTAAGGTTGTATGGAAGTTCGGGATAAGAGATCAAATCCCATCTCTGAATCTGACCACACATGATGTGGAGTCAGAAGAGGGAGACCAGCAGTGAACCTGCTGTCCAGGGTTACCACTCTGTGTGTGTGTGTGTGTGTGTGTGTGTGTGTGTGTGTGTGTGTGTGTGCGTACGTGTGTGTGCGTGCGTGCGCGTGCGTGTGTGTGTGTGTGCGCGTGCGTACGTGCGCGTGCGTGCGTGTGTGTGTGTGCGCGCGTGCGCGTGTGTGTGTGTGTGCGTGCGTGCGCGTGCGTGTGTGTGTGTGTGCGCGTGCGTACGTGCGCGTGCGTGCGTGTGTGTGTGGGTGTGTGTGTGTGTGTGTGTGTGTGTGTGTGTGTGTGTGTGTGTGGGTGTGTGTGTGTGTGTGGGTGTGTGTGTGTGCGTGTGGGTGTGTGTGTGTGTGTGGTGTGTGTGTGTGTGCGTGTGTGGGTGTGTGTGGGGGTGTGTGTGTGTGTGTGTGTGGGTGTGTGTGTGTGTGCGTGTGTGGGTGTGTGTGGGGTGTGTGTGGGTGTGTGTGTGTGTCCCTCTGCCATGAACATTCCCAGCACATGGCAACAGGAGCTAAATATAGCCCTGGTAGCGTGGCTTCACAGCAGGATCATGCTTCCTCTCGCTATAACGGAGGATCTCTCTCTGCCGCTGTCTCCCTGCTGCCTGCAAACATGGTGCTCCTCCCTCTGCTCCCTCATCCACTTTACTCCATCTTTGAAGTTACTCCCATCCTGTCACCTTGGGTGTGTACGAAGTGTGACCCTATGCATCGTAGCTACAACTCAGCTATTGTTTTCCAATGAGTTTCATTCATTTAAGCTACCGTTAGCTTTTGAGCTAATTTGGATTTAAAAGCCAAAACTAACATGCTGACTGACTTAAAGGGCCAAAATCAACGTTTTTGAGCTTTACATGATGTTATAATGTTATTCCCTCATCAAAACATAACTGGAGTGTTGCCATGATTCTTTCATACATGTGTGAGAAATGATTTCCATAGCAACCATTCAACTGTGTAAAACGCCTGGGTGGACCTAGCACCGCCCTCCAGACCAAGCTCCTCCTCAGAGCTGCAGTTTCCAAGCTGCAGCCTCACAGAGCTGCCCTCCAATCAGCTCCTTCAGACTAACCAGCAGCAATTAGCCACACCTGGTGGAGCGGTGCAGCTATAGTATACCAGCTACTTCTCAGTGTGACGCTGATAAACTCGTCAGAACCACTGATCGATAAAATGTCAGACATTTATCACAGGAAGTGGCATTAAAAATAAAAAAACAGACAATTATGAAGGTGAGCACTGAACTTGGTTTCACCTAAGAAACTCTTTACTAATCTGTTGATGTGCAGCAGAGGATTAACAAGATGATCTTAGAATATGATAAATAATATATACTTGTGGAGTGACCATGATCATGATCATGTGTTACACAGGCTTTAGAGCAGCTCATGACAGCGAGGGGAGTAAGTTCCTTTGGCCAGATTCCAGAAACTCAAGCTTTAATTAAACACTCGAATGCTTCCAGCAGATTTGCAGAGACGCAAAAAGAACCCAAGCGCAGAACTGTAAAATCGGAGCGGTTAAATGTGACTGACTCTTGCGTGATGGCGCTGAACTGCTGGGAGCGTGTGGAATAATCCTGGCTTCATTTGGCACAGCGCCTGGCGAGGTGTTACGTTGCTCACGGCCTGCATAAGTTCCGCTGTTGACGTGTGCGAGCCTGCACTCACAGCACCGAGGGGGCAGCGGGGAACATAAACGCAGCAACAGGGGGTCCAGAACTCCCAGTTTGGAAATTAAACGAGCCGGAGAAAGAAAATGAAAACGGCATCCGTTGAGATGCTGTAGTGACTTCAGTAGAAAAACTTCTACTGTTACTCCAGTGGCATCTCTGGATATTGGATGAATGTTTTCTAAGGTGTTATGAGTAGAAGCTGAAATGCCCTTGAGTACATGAAAAATAGCTTTTATTTTTATTTTGTACAGTAGAAATTCACCAGCATCAGTAAAGTCTTGGAAGAACGGAGATGGAAGAGAACATTTATTCCTAGGGATGCACAATATTATCGGCACAGTATTGTTATCGGCCTGTAAAATTTAACATCGGACATTAGCTATTCCGTCAAAATAACTCTGTAAAAGGTAAAAGTTGCTGTTTTCATATGACAAACCAGTGACAACGATGCCTGCAGCACCGCACAACGTCATGACGTCACCAAGCAGGACCAAGTGAAAGTGTCAGCAGCGTGGATGTTTTGTTAAAGTGTTGGAAACGGTTAGCAGAACCGCTGTTTGCAATGACTGCACAGCATCTGTAATGCAAGGAGGAGCGGCGACCAAGTCCTTCAACACTTTGAACCTAATCAACCATCTCAAGAACCACCATTACCATAAATTCATGGTGGCCAAAAGGGAAAGCGAGAGGGCGGTTAACCATGGAGGAAAAAATAAATCATCACAAGCAGTGCATTCTACAAGCTTGAGAGAAATATTGATATTCTTTTATCAGTTATCAGCCAAATGAGTTTTAGCATATCGACATATCAGATATCAACCAAAAATCAAATATTGTTCATCAATATTCATTACCAACGTCGCCACTATCATCCAAAGCCTGCTTTACAATGTCTAAAGTTGTCTTGTGTGAAAAGTCAAAACTCCCAATTACAAGTCAAGTACAATGAAATACAACTGTACAATACAAACAGTGTCAATTATACAGCAATTAGACGTAACTAAATATCAGTTAGTTTGAATTCTGCCAGCGACAGTGAAACTGGTCTTAACAGCAGCTTCATTCAGACTCTGATTCCAGTGAATGTGTTTGATAACGAAGTCTCAGAAAACGATCCTGCATCTGGGAAATGCTTTAGCCGTGAAATCATCTGGGATTGTCTCTGTTTCATTTTAGACGAATTACCAAAGACCAGGAGTAAAAACATGGCTGCTGTACAACTTTCTCTGGAAATATCCCAAAGCCCAAGTGGTCTTAAAAAAAAAAGCACTCAGCATGCCTGTGCAGGTCAGAGTGAGTCACTGTACGGCTCTGTAATTCACCTTAAAACTCAAAC